GCCTCTATTTTATATTCTATTCTATTACTAATACTATACAATTTTCTATATACTATATTCTATTACTGTACTATACTCTATACTATTACTTCTACATCTATGCTAATTACTATTACTATAACAATTACTATATTACTATTCAATTACTATTACAGTATTTCCTCTATACTATACTGTATTGTATAACTTTCTATAACAATGTTTTTTTCTTACACTGTTCTGCCTTAATTCTTCTCTCTGGAATTTCTTCTGTTTTCTTCTCTGCTACTGGCCAGCATGTAGAGTTTGTGCAACTTTCCACATTGTGCTTTTATACTTGCACTTTTCCTTGCTCTGCCTTTATACTTCTTTTCCTCTTGATCATCCAGTCTCTGTGAAGGAAAAATGCTGCCTTTCATTTAGCTGCTTTCTCTGTTTGTTGCTACTGCACAGCTTCCAAAACATGTGCTTCTCCTTCCCCACCTGTTTCAAGGTTGCATCTTGTGATGGCCTCGGAAAAAGTGCTTTACAACCTGTACTTGCACTTATGACCATCACAAACCATCACACCACCACCCCGCAGTCATGTGATCTTGATTTGTGACCTTTTTTACAACAGTTGTTAAGCAAATCACTGTGGTCGTTAAGTGAATCACCATGGATGTTAAGCAAATTCCAGCAAAAAAGGTCCATTGAAGAAGCTGGATTCGGTTAATGACTATGTGATTTGCTTAAAGACCACCCTGCTTAACGATCAATTTTCTGGTCCTATAGTGGTTGTTAAGTGAAGACTACCTGTAAGCAACTTTGCCGTGCTGATGCTGGGGAGAAGGCTCAAATGGGGGGGGGGGGAGGCAGTACAGGTGCCTGCAATTGTTCCTCAATGGCCTTCTCTTCCACAGAGTGATCAGCTCTTAAAAATCTGAATTTGAATCTCTTTGTGTTCAATCATTTAGCATCAGCTATATATTTATTATGCATAGCCCTAAGCCGTAGCATCAATCATGTTTGTTGTTCTGAATTATAGTTACCACGCTGTCTGTTTTTTCCCTCTGCCAGGCTCCTGCTCTTTAACTATGTGTGGCAGGCAGTTCAGCATGGAGTAGAACTGTAAGTTCTGAATCACAGAACTGCTTCCTACTGCTCTGCATTAAGGTGAAGTAAAGAAATGCTATGTGCGCTCCCTTGAACTTCTTCCAGAAGACTGTACTTACATAAGTTAAATAAAAGAAGGCAGCGAGATGCTTTGCCTTCAGGCTGGGTTCTACTCTTTTTTTTTAACAGCTCACCTGCTGAGATAATAGGTCTTAACAAATCCCAGCAAAAGGTTATGGTCTCAGCTCAGCCAAAGCTTCAATATGACTTGGAACACGGAGTGAATTTTAAACATTGTTTTTGCTTTTTATCCGCAAGTGCTCTAGAAATATCAATCCAGAGCTTCTTTCCAAGCTCGACAAATTCCTCCTTGTAATCTTCATTTTCCTTCAAAAATAACGTTTTGCCTCTTCTTTTGTCTCTAGATACAGAACAAGTCATATTCTTTATTCCTCTTGCTCACCCCCCCTTTTTTTTTAAGTGGAAACTTTTAGAAAATGTCGAGGCAAGTCATAGTTCTGAGCTTTAAACTGGCAACGAAGCAGTGGAGTTAGGATTAATGGGGAAAACAACATATCATAGCTTTAGGCCAGTTTGCTTTCCCCAGCAACCAGCATAAGCTGTCTCCAAGGCTTGTAATTTATCTTCATGGTGCATATATTCTATAGTAAATCTTTGTACCACAGCTTAGATCCTGCCTCCAATCAGAATGTATTTTCTTATACTTCCATGGCATTTAGTTTCCTCCTAGAAAGAAAGAATAACAACAAACTGCATCCCTACCATCATCCCCAGGAAACCTGCTCAAACCCTGGCTTCTGATGCCCTTCACAAATTGGACTCTCTGATTTCACAGTTGTCTTCATTAGTATTATTTGCATTGCAGCTTTGTTTCTCTGAGGACATTTCTGTCTAATCTGTTGAGTCTCTGGCTTCTTAAAAAAAATCTGAACTCTTTACAGTATATTTGGTTTCTCTGTATTTGATTTTATGGCTCTTCTCTCACCAATGTTTGGAAGCATGGTTGGTATAAATGTGTATTTGTGCAACATGGTAGCAAAAGCAAAAAGTACACTCAGCCTTATTTTATCTCACAAGTGAAAATTATAATTCTTTCAAATAATCATTGATTTTCACATCCAGTTAGAGAACTTGTACAGTGCTTAGTTACTTGGGAAAATGTGGGGTGTATGCTCATATTTCTCATGGGACAGATGGGAAATATTAGTAGTTGTAGATTATTCCTGTTGACCATAATGCTCCTCTAAATGTAAACAGTGTTTATTTTAAGAGATGTTGGTGTATGAAGCAGAGAACCCAAATTGTGGGTGCGACATGTGAATTAATGCACGGCTCTGCCCAGTTAGCTGTACATCCTGCCAACTGAATTCATAGCAACCTTCGCTCTATGGTTTACCACTTCTGAGTTTAGAGCTGAAGACAGTGGTTACTTTATACAGCTGAAATTGTTATAATGGAACATCACTGTAGGATGCCCACTCTTTCCTACCATCCCTAAATCTAGGTTTTGCTTTGTAGTGCTCTAAATATTTGCTAAATGAGATCAGAAACAACAATAAGACAAAAGAAACAAGTCTGGGCATTTCAGGCAAGAAATTGCCAAAAGCTATTACTCCCTCCAACTTGGAATATACTCAGTGCCCTCTACCAATGAAGGTGGAAAGTGAATCTCTAAGATCAGAGTCCTTAGTTACTGCTCTGTGGTGCATGTAAGAACTCTTAACAATCCCCAAATTTATCTGTGCTCTCAGAATCTGAGTATTGGTCCGATGGACTGCTAAACTTCCCAGGAAAGCATTTTGTCCTTGGACAGGAAGACAGTCTCAGAACCAAGATGAACCTGAAATTTGTAGGGAACTAATAACTCTATGCTGAGAAGCAGTAGGGTTACCAGTTCACTGCAGGAGGGGGGATAAATAGAGACCAACGTGATGGGAAATAGTGATCTTTCATCTGCAGCTGAAATGTAAGATTCATACATTGTATGCTTTGAGGTTTGATTTAAGAGTACCATGGTGTTCAGGACAATCTGTCCCTAAAATAAATATAAGTAAACGGTTGTCAGTTAATTATAGTTTGTCAGTTAATTACAGCATGCTTATCAGTGCTCTGCTGTTACAGAACATAATGTTATATTCTGATCCTATAAAACAAATTACTAAGAACTGATAAACGAGAAAAATATTTTTCCCTGGCAGAGTTTTACTCATTGGCCTTAAGAAGCCATATAATACATGAAATGCTATGGTGAGGTTATCTATTAAAAAGAGGGGTACATCATTTATCTGTATTCCATGTGAAAATTACAAAGAGTCTTGTGGTACATTAAAGATTAACAGATATATTACATCTTGTGTTTTGTGAACTGAGTTATATGGAAGATTGTATAAACACTGAGATCAAAGGGAAAATGTATACAGTATTACCAGTGCTCATTCATAAAGCAGTATTAATGATATCACAAACATCCTGCTGTTAATCCATAGTGTGAAAAAAAGCCATTACTCTGATTCAAGACATAGGCTGAATCAGAGGTAATGGTATCTTGACATATGGTAATTCAGTGGTCTTATAATGGGTTCTTCCTTTAAAGTTTCTGTGACATACAGGTTTTTTAAATTATTGCTTTTCCTGATGTTGCATTTATATCAATTTATTCTTTTGCATAGAGACCAACCTATAGAATGAAATTTATCATGTGGTTCACTTCTATCATCTCTGAACTGATTGGAATAAGAAGAGTTTTTTTAGTCAGTTAGTTGGTTTACAAATTATTGATTTTATTAACAGGATTTATTTATCACCTTAATTAGCTAGGTCCCTAGGCAATGTACAGCTTCCAAAATTAATAAAGCAGTATAACAACAATGTATAATAATACAGTATAATACAATTTTAGAAAACTGTGCCGATGTTACCATGCTGTTCAATTCCCAAAGCCTAGTTTTTACAAGAAGACTGTGAGGGGTAGAGCCATTCTCACCTGAGACGACAGGTGTTTCCAAAGGAGAGGAGATAAGTGAGTTTGTATTATGGCTAAAGCAGCTTTATGAATGTCCACTTTGTGACTCTGTGTGTGTGTGTTTGTATATATATCTCTCTCCAAAGTATATATACACATAAACAGGCAGAAAACCTGCAGCTGGCTCTTCATCTCTGCAAGGACGGTTGTGGAGCAGGGAAGGTGCAAAGCAGAGGCGTCTGCAGAATATAAACGATGCATGTAAAAAAGGGGTGAGGCTTTAATTGCAAAGTTGCAGCCATCATCTTGAGGGGTTTTGTTTACCCCTCCCCTCATGGACCCTCCTGTAGCTCATGGCTTTAGAATGGGAGAGAGGAGAGCCACTTTCAGGGCTTGGTCCTCTTTGCTGCTGAAAAGTCTGGCTGTGGCTGAGCTCTACAGCCAGAGAGGATTCAGGGGGGCAGAGGTGGCCATTCTTGCTCAGGTTTTTTACACCTTTAATCTTTGGATTCTGAAAGCTCAGTTACTGAACTGTTCAAGATTATTTGGTCTCTTAAGCAAATCTTTGTTTCTTGGACATTTGGTCAGCAGGAAGATCTTTTGCTTCTCTCAGTAGAGGGCGGAGAGAGGCTTCCTGGAGTTCTGAAAAATAGGCATTGTTCCTATTATATATTCCAATAAAAGCTGAGCCCGAGAACGGCATGTCCCAAATTGAGCTTCCCCAAATATTTTTGTTGCTCTGATGTGCAGTCCAGAGCTAGCAAGAGGAACTTCCATAGACCAAGTTTCCTGGAGAATGCACATAGCAGATAATGAGCATAACTGTGTGTCCCAGGCTATGCATACACTTTGTGAGATGTTCCTTTGAAAGTCTTGGCTGGAATGGGTGAGGTGCTATAGACCTTGGAAGCCTCAGGCTCAGTTCTGATCTCTCATACTTCAGCTGCATTAGGTATCCAGGAATATCCCAGCACTTCAGTCCAAACCAATGTGCCAAGCCTGCACCCTGGTACACCTCTGGCACCAGAACAATCCTTGGGTCGTACTTTGCTGTGTGTGACCGAAGGGAGCCAGAATGTCATGCAACACAGCAGCCTCTGACCTCAGAAGGAGAACATCAGCCTTGGTCTGCAAGAAAAGCAAGGAAACGGACTCTGAAAGAAGGGCTGTTGGGGGTAAGGTGGAAGAGGTGGAAGTGTGAAACCAGAGTTGAGAATACAGCAGGGAGAGTTGATGCTGAGCTTAATCAGCCCAGCAGTTGGATGAGGGTTACTAATCTGGCAATAAAACCAAAATGTCCTATGTGGATCATTTTATTGCCAGGTTTTCAGAATTTAAAATATTCATCGTCTTGTTGCATTAAGATGCCTATGTTTGCAACATGTTCCTTTTCTAGGTGACAGGAAAGGATGAGAACCCCCCCCCCCATTCCCTTGATACCTCAGGCACTATAAAGTATGTATTTTAATATTATGAACCTAAAAGATAATAATACACCACCTTTCTTTATATTTAGGATGTGTTTAAGGATGGGCAGAAATAACAAGTTAGTTCTCAACAAAAAATCAAATAAAAAGTCCTTTGGCAGGTAGAGAAAGTAACTTGGTATAATAGCAGACCTAGGGTGCATAATTATGTTTTATTGCTTTCTACCTCTAGAGGACTGCAAAAACCTTGGCCAGATAACTCCTGCTGTGCTGCTGGAGAGCAGAGGCAGAATTCTGTGCTTATGCACACAAGCTTAAAGGAGCCCCCAAGGCTTGGACGCAAAGAATGATTTCTGCGGATCATTTGTGTTTTGCCAAGAAACAGTGAGTGCTGTGCAGATAAAAAGAAGTAAAGGAACCAAGCCCGGCCCTACCGTTAGACAGAATTGCACAGTTGCCTCAGGCAACAGATGCTGGGAGATGGCTCCAGAGCCTCTAAGCTAGTTGTCTGCTTTCAAATGCACTGGGAAAAGCTGTTTCCATTGCCACAAAAAAGATTCAACTGCAAATCCAGTTGGCTTTTGTCATAAAACATGAGGAGGCCTCACTTTGTATTTCATCTCAAACCACAAAATGTCCTCCTGGCCTTTGAAGGGAAAGATCAAAGGGAGATTGTAGAAAATGGGGGGGGAGGGGACGTCAAATGGTCCCAGAGGAGCAGCAGCCTCTCTGGAGGCAAAGTTGAGGAGTAATCTGGAAGGCAGTTTGGATGTGAGCCATAACCAGACCAGAACTCACTATGAAGAGGTATTGCTAAGACTATTTCGGATGATCTGTGGGGCAAGGTGAAATCTCTTTGGCCCTTGAGTCACCTGGACCCTTGCTTCTGTTTGCTGGAGTGTATCCATTCAGTTTCAGCACCTCTGCTCCATCAGTGATAACCTGCACGCCAAAAGCATTGGACTACATTATGTCCCACTTCTGTTTCTGCCAGTGCAACAGGAAGTCGAAGCCCCGGGAAGCAGCTACCAAGAATCTTGGTTCAAAAGTTCCATGGCTAAGTATGGAAGGGTAATGGAGGTTTTTGCTGATATCATAGCTGCCAAACGGATACCATTTGAAACTGTTCCATTCCATGCCTGCATCTCACATGGTGTGATGGACTGGGAGATTTTGAGCAATTTTGTTGCTTGTTTAAATCTGGGGACAGTGACTAATTGTCCCCATTCTTGTACTTTTTTTGGAGCATGTACAAAGTTCCCTTTCCCCCTCCTCTCCTCAGACATCCATGGCTGCGGAAGAGAGTATGCACAGTGGAGCTTTTGTCTTCTACACAAATGCACCTTAGCCTCTCTCTCAGAAATCCACTCTGCTGGAATTAAATTTCAAATTACAAGAACTAATTAATCAAGAGGCCATTTTATTTTTATTTTTCATTAAGGGTGAAATATTGAGGTCTTCTAAAAGAGTCCAACATATCCTTTCCTTGATTAAAAATGTTAGCCTCTACCTCCCAGGCCAGAAATTTCAAAGCAGCTGCTAATTTGGCCTCCTAAGGGAAACTTGGCAAGAATTGCTGGTCTGGAATTTTTATTAGAGAGGTTTAATTATTATGTGCTTTTTTTCTCTCTCCCACCCTCCAGATGAGAAATAATGCCAAGCCCCAACTGTGACACTGAATGGCCTCATAAATTCACAGTGAAATGTACAGCCTTGGACTCTGGAGATGGCTGAGCTACATAGTTGAACTGCTACATCCACAGGTCAGCTCCAACAAAGAGGACTCTTCCTTCCATCATCAGCCTTTGAGTCTGTGTGGTGTTCCTCACTTGATTTGTTGTTTAGCCCAGGCTGCAAGTTTCTTATACTGTGATTCTGAAACAAGAACTCCAGTCAACTATGAAGTGAAGTCAGCAGAACCCAGGACAGTTCAGAGTCCAGCCTGAAGAACAGCACTTTGAAGTTAGCCAACTGATTCAAATATTGACTGCTGTATCCACCTCTCTAAATAAGGAACCACAGCTTTATGACTTCCAAACCTTCTTCATTAGTTTCTGGCAGAGATCAAGACTGCACCTAGAGACTGCTCCACAAGGCTGGAATGTTAAACTCCAAGCCAGTGGCTGGCATTTTGATATTTCTCATAAAACAGAATGGGATATAAACCTTATTACAGTGATGGAAAATTTCTAGCCCACCAAATGTGGCTGAACTGCAGTTCCCAGCCCTTATTCTATTACCCACTGGAGGACCACAGGTTCCCAATATCTCATTCAGACTGTTACGTGGAGGTAAGCTAAACAAAAGATACTTCCCCTGCAGAGTTTGCACCTGGACCTCTGTTGGTCCTGTCCTAGCCTAACATTAGCTACCTGGATTCCTGCTGATGGTGCACATCCCATATTAGTCTCCTCCAGGGTCTGAGGCCATATGTAAACCAGTACTTCTCAAAGTTCATAATTTGCTTCTTAGCAGACTTACCTCAATTACAGCTGCCTCAATTCCCCATGTCCCTACTCCTAGTCTCCCTAAGACTATCTTGCCACTTGTTCTTGGCCCTAATTCCCACATTCATCTGCCAAGTTGTTCTGACTCTGGCTGCCTTCTGGTGCCATACTGCAATACTGCTTCCATCAGTATCCCAGAAAGCTTTCTCAGGAAAATATTCTGCTTGCAGGTATACTTCCTTGGGGCAGCAGCTCTGGGCTGAAGATTAAGATGCAAACCATGCTTGACCCCATCAGAGGAGCTGATGCTGGAGCTCCAGGCTAAAATATCTGCTGCTTGCTGAGGATTCAAGGTTCAATTCACATCATCTCTAGTTGGAAAGATGTGGGGGAGTAGTTGATGGAAGATTTGCTGGCTGTCAGAAGAGATACTGGGGAAGGCAGACTCAGGCTTTGATGCAGTTCAAGGCAACTTCTTTTGAAACACTTGCCTTGGATTGCAGCTGACCATTTTGTTCTAGATGGCAATCAGAGTTGGCAATCTGAGCTTCCAGAACCAGATGTGACCCCTTGAGCACCTCCCAACCACAGTTGCCAATTATCAGCATCATTGTTTCCTGCCATCTGGAGGAGGAAACATACAAAAACTGTAGTGTAAACCCTAAAATAAGCTTGGGAAACTTAAAAACAGGCAAAAATCAACCTCTGCCTTTTTGCCCCATGACACCCCCCCCCCAGTTACTTAGTTGTGCTTGTATATGGGACATTGTCCTGCCCACTTCTGTCAGCTGTTGCCCTATCAAAAAATGCCAACTGTGGCTGCTAACAGTCAAAACATCCAGTTGAGCCTCTAGTCTAGAGTCTAGACCTGTGTTTCTCAACCTTAGCAACTCTAAGATGTGTGGACTTCAGCTCCCAGAATTCCCCACCCAGCCATGTTAGCTGAGGAATTCTGGGAGTTGAAGCCCACACATCTTAGAGTTGCCAAGATTGAGAAACACTGGTCTAGACTATTGTACTTCCTCTTCCATTCATTCAAGGAAGGCAAGTCTGGAGAATAAGTGGTGGGTTCTGCCCTAAAAGAAGTTGCTGTTGTAAACAAGCATAAAATAAAAAAGGAAGATCACTACATACTATGTACTCACCTGAATCAATCAATAAAATAAATACAAATAAAATTACCCTGATTTAAAACAGACCTGGTGAAACACCTAGCTTTCACACATTGATTTAGGGTACAACGCCCTCAAGTGGGAGACTGGGAAGAGAAGAAGGCTTCATCTAGACACAAGACCAGCCATAAGCTCATTTCTGAAATTCTCTCAAATTCATTTCCTTCTCTAGATCTGTCCTCCTGCCAGCAATGAGAGGAAAGGAATGGTGCATTTATATAAACAATTAGATGCTACCTTGCCTTCCAATTAAAAAACATACCACAAGTGAATGTATTAGAACACAGAGTTCCTATCCTATCATCCCCAGACAGCATGGATGGGAATTGTTTTTTAGCATATATGGAGGGCACACGTTTGGAGAAGGCTGCTCCAGATCTACCAACAGGAGAACCTTCAAAGACTCAGGCTTGGCAGAAGGAAGGGTCTTCCTGTGACTTCAGAGATGAAACTAGGGGGAGTGAATTCCAAAGTGTGGGCCTGTAGAAGAAGAGGTCCCACATCTCAGGAACTCCTGCCTACCTCCAGCTGCAGGGATACATGAAGAGCCTCTGGGCAGGCCCACCTGGGAGCCAAGCTAAAATTCCTGCCACCAGTTATATCAGGGTTTGTTTTTTTTATTTATATAGTTTAGGTCCCATATTGCTACCTATAGCATGCTCAAGGCAACAAACAATAAAATATAAAATAAATGATAATACTCATTTGAAACAGTAAAATCACAAAAGTAATTGAAACTGAAAGAGCCTGGGTGAAGAGGATTAGAGGGTTTAAAAGGTGCATAGCAGGTCTTTGAATGTGCATCTTCCAAAGATTCCCTTCAGTTCATCTAGTGTTTAAATAAAAGCTTGCCCATCTTGTTAACAAGGCGGTAAACGCAACTCACTAGCCAGGAGGTGGCGTGAGGTTCTACATTCACACGCACCCCAGACATGCACAAATGGCTGGACTCGAGCATCACGTATTCTGTGGGGGCACTCAGGGACCCTGGAATGCAGTCTCAAGAGAGAAGTCTCTCCTTTCTTCTCTCACCCTGACCTTCTGCTGAAAAATGTGAGAGGGTCCTTTGTGTGAAGCTTAGTTTTAATTTTGCCTGCTTTCGTGAAGGATGGTACAGTGCTTTTTAGCCTCTTCCACCAAACATGCTTTTGAGTTCACTTCGATAGATACATTTTATTTCTCTGATCATACACTGTATTAATTGAACTGATCAACAATCAACTTATTTCTGATTTTGTTGTATGTTGTGACCAATCTGATTATTTTTAAGAAGGAATTCACACACATAGAGGCAGGGAGAATCAGAAAAGTCAAGAACGTGGCCATACTCACACAGTTGTGGCCATTTTTACTTTTTTACCCATAGAATACCCACATTCCAGCTAGTTTCGCACAACAGGTCAGTTGAAGCCTAAGAGCTGCATCCATCCATGACATAATATGCTTGGCTGATTTTAACTTAATAAATCATTTTTATGTGACTTAATGTGTTGCACGCACCCAATGTATTTGTTTTACTGGATTATGTGAACCCAGAAAAAGAATGAATTCCGTAACCAAGTTAAATGTACAGTGTGAACATGGCCACAGAAAGGTACAGCATATTATGCTTGCCCTTAATAAGGGCTCTAGTCAGCAAACATGGGGAACTTTGGCTGACTCGGGTGTTTGCAAAGGGGAGGTCAAAAGTCAAGATGGTGGCACAGCCATGCGATCAAAGTCCCAACGGCCATCTTGGCTTTTCCGACCTCTCGTCCCTGCAGACTCCCTGCCTGCGTGGTCTTTTTTTCTTGCGTCTGATTCCAACACAACACAGGACAAACCTTGGGCCCCTCCCTCCCCTTGAATTTAGTTCAGTTTGGGAAACAGATCGCTATCTGTACTTCCAGATCTCTTTTTTATTTAAAGTCCAGATTGAAAGTATCGGTGGCTTTGTGTTATTATGTCTCCAGCCTTTTTATCTCCCTCCAGCTATTTAAGGGCGCTCAACAGCACTGCATTCCCTTCTGTCAGCCCTTGACATCTCATTCTCTCTAATTATTTCATCTTGCACTGGGTAAATCAGTTTCATAATTTCTAGTATATTAAGCACTTAATATGTTGTGTCATTTGAAACCACATCTTACAGTCAGCAAAGTACATTTTAATGAGCGTTAAGTGGTGTGAAAATACTGATCCCATATAACAGTTGGGTTTTCTTTGGTTTGGTTTGTTTAAGTCTGGGATGTTACAAGCTTTGGCATCCTGCACAGAATATCTTTTGAGCAGGTGGCTATGTTGAAATTATATTTAAATTAATGGTTCATTAAGGAGTTTCATCATAATGCTATAGATGGCTGCCAACGCCTCTACTGGCCCTTTAATGCTGCCTGGTCTGCACATTCTCCAGACTGGTTGGTGCAGATCAGGCTGCAGCTAAACACATCAAAAAGAAGCTTAGAACACAGGGAAGGGCCGTGGATCAAGTCGATTCCACCTAACTCAGAATGATCTCCACCATTTGGCAATATTTTGCTAAGGCTACCAGATCTGGACTGCAAGCATCTGGACTGCCATGGCTCCCGCCCCTTGGAACCCCTTGCCCCCTGAGGTGAGATTGGCCCCCACTCTGTTGGCCTTCTGAAAGGGCCTCAAGACCTGGCCCTGCCAGCTCGCACGGGGGCCCGCTGGGGGTTCACAGCACTGGGTGCGGCTGGTAGCGCTCTCCACCTTTTCTGCATTGTAGTTTTCACTTTTATTTTTAATTGTAACCTTTTGTAGTTTTTAACCAATATATCTTTTCTAAGATGCTATAGTTTTTTTACTTGTAATGCCACGTAGAGTCACTTGTACAGTGAGATGAGTGGCATATATAAATTTGAAAAATAAACAAACATTTGGATGTTTGCTCTTTGCTGCCTTCTAGTGGTTCTGGGGATTTTCCATGGAGTGAGCCAAGGCTATACACTCTCTCATACATTCAACCTATATGCTGAATATACATTAAGAGAGAGAGGATTGGAACTACTGGGTGTAGTTTTAAAACTGGAGGAAGACGCATTAATAACCTGCACTACACTGATACTACTTAGCTGAAAATGTAAATGATCTGCAAGCTCTAGTAATGAAAGTCAAGGAGCATAATGAAAAAAATAGAATCAAGTCCTTCTGTTTAAAGGACAACCAGCAACCAGCCTCAGAACTGACAATGAAGATACTGAGGTGGTGGATAGCTTATACCTTTTAGAATTAACAGTTAACAGTAAAGGAACAAGGAATCAAGAAATATTCTACAGAATAGCACTTGGTAGAGTAGCCGTGAAGATTTTTGAAGAGAGATTCAGATGCTGTAATGTGTCTATACCTACAAAGATTAGAATCACACAAGTGGTGGCTTTCCCTGTGACAGTCTAAGGAAGCAAAAGTTGGACCTTGAAGAAGCAGGGTGGAAAAAGTATTGATGTTTTTGAATTTGGTGTTGGAGAAGACTCCTGAGAATATCATGGATAGCCAAGAAAACAAACAAATGGATCATCAAACAAATCAACCCAGAGTTCTGACTTGAGGCACAAATGTCCAAGCTCAATTTATATTTGGGTGCATTATGTGAAGACCTAGCTCTCTGGAGAAGACTCTAATGCTGGGAAAGGTGGAAGAAAATAAAATGATGACCAGCAACAAGTTAAAGGGACTCAGTTACATTAGAAGACCCAAAGAGCAAGGTTGGAGAAGGTTCATCTATGTGATCAATAAGAGTTGGCACCAGTTTAATGGCACATTGTCAGTCGAGAGATGCCAAGCATTAATGGTTGAAACTTTGATGCAACAGGGCCTGCTTGTAACAGGAACCACCAGGTCCTAGGCCTATTTAGCAAAGCACAACAGACATTCTCAGTGGTTCAGAAAAAAAGTGTTTCTGGTCTTAGCTGGAGATTTCAGGGATACAAAGAGGTACCACTAAGTTATAGGTCTTCTCTGATGGTTTGTGTTTAGTTAATTGAACAGCTGTTTCCAAAATCTGCTTGAAATTCTTGATCCCAGACCAGCAGTTAATTCTAGCTCTGAAAATCATTTCGTCAAGTTCCACACTTGAGGGCTTGGGCTGCAGACATCTCTGGAAAACTCCCAATCTCCTACAGAATTTGTTTTGTATTTTTCTACTGTGAGAGAAGTGAGAAACTATTAAGTATGTGGGGAATAGTCATTTCATTGTATTTAGTTGAGTTTAAGTGAGCAATCATGAAATGTAGGATAGAAATATTTTATATATACCACAGATTATGGGGAGATGGAGAATGCCATACCTGAAATTATATAACTAGGAGATACAGTTCCATTTATTCTGGAATTAAATTTAAATTAAATCAGATCTAGGTTTTATCCCGGCCACTTTGGGAGCTAAGATGGCGACGGAGCAGCAGTTTCCCTGCTGAGCTCCTTATGATATTTTATTCGGAACGCAGCTAGCCAGATGGAACTCTGCCTGTAGCTCGGATGCTTGCAT